AATGGGTCCTTGATTCATATTTCTCTTTTCCTCAACTATTCAAGAGAGAGATTATATACTTAAATTTTGCACATATTCACAGGCATCCAGCTACATTTTGCAAAAGGACACTTCTCAGCACAGCACAAAGGTTTACTTATGCTTTGCATAAGAACTGCCAAGAGGAAGCTAATTAATATGCTACATGCTCTTTTCTATTTATAGAAACTGGTTTGGTTTTCACGTTCACAGAACTCTGACATATACTTGTCCTTCTTTCCACCTTTAATACCTCTTCAAGCAAAGTGCTAAATGCCTTTTCATTTCGATGACAATGCACACATAAGGGGAACCCTAACTGTACTTAATTGAGGCTGTTGGATATGTTTTCTTCATCCTGAGCTTGGAGAGAGCAGGAAAAATGATTTCAAGTAGCATTTTTAAGTGACGAATATCTGCAGGCTCAGAAATGTTGCTTAAATTATTTGCTTGTCTTGGTTAATGCGAATGTTCCATATTATCAAAATGTTGCACTGATTAGTTGTCTTGCCTCTGCCAGCACTGACTTTTGAGAGTTAATGGCAAATACTGCAAAAAAATTCATCTTGCAACTGAAGCAGTAGCAAACGTATCTTTATTAGGAGTTGGAAGAAAGAGCGCTATATTTCTCAAAGCTTTTCCCTTTAAATTATTTCTGGTAGAGGCTGGATTTGAGATCTGCCTTTGTCTTGCTAAGGGCTATTTATGATTTATTTCAACCTTTAGCTGGCTCTGGGGGAAGAATGAGCAAAGTTGAAAATAAAGAAGAGGAGACAACATACTCAGTGGCATTTCGGTGGCATAAACATCCATGAAGGTTGCATTGTTTAAATTTAAAAGCATTTTTATTTTTTCCTCTCAAAAATAAAATTAAAGCCCTTTATCATTTTTAATTAGAGAACAAATGCCATCATTTTCTTTAAAGAGAACAAATTTCAAGCTGTGAGTCTTTTAATGCAGGCTGGTCTTTTGAGACTTTTTCTGAAGCACCGTGGGGAAATTTTAAACCCAATCAAATAATTTTCTGAGGTAAAGTGGTGATGGGCTGTGGTGAGATATGGGTGTCATTAATATATTACAGAGGTCTATAACATACCAGAGTCCCCATAACACTGACACACTATCACATCTCCAAAGAAGCATTTGCGGTCCACCAGGGCTCTTAGGGGGCTGTTACAGTCTATCAATACAGCAATCTGCAAGTCAAAAAGTCCCCAAATATGTATTTACGAGACCGTCAGGTCTGTTTTGGTCTATTGGGTCGACAACCCAAGGACTAAAAGTCCCTAACTATATATTCACAAGTAGCTGGATCAGCTATGGTTCACTGAGTCAGTAGTAAGTAGGCCTTTAAAAACGACCCACATAATTGCATAGTTTGCATTTTAGCAAGTTCAGAAACACACTTCTGTACACTTTCAGTCTTTTTAAGAGTAGATTTACTATGCTAGTTTCAGTGGATGTCAGAAGCTGTGTTTCACTCTTTGGCCTGTGCTATTTTACTTTTAAAAAGTCAGAAGAAGATAAACCACCATAGCATAAAATATATTAAAGTGATGAGGCAAGTAATGGAAACACAGACATTTGGGCAAAGCCCTGCGAGCTGGGTGGGGTGGATACTGTCCTTCAGACCATCTCAGTGCCTCCTCCATCACCATCCAGATCCAATCCGCCTCTCCCTCGCACTTTGGCTTCCTCTGTCAATCTCATCCCAGTAGCCAGAGGGATCTGGCTGGGCACAGGGATGGGGAACCTTTTTTCTGCCAAGGGCCATTTAGATATTTATAACATCATTCAAGGGCCATACAAATTTATCAACCTAAAAATTATCCTGCTCTATTTGGTTCAACATTTAATGAAATCACCCCTAATGCCTTGGCAGGGCCAGACTGAATGATTTTGTGGGCCCTCTATGGCCCACGGGCCAGCCATTTCCCATTCCTGGGCGAGGCTCCACAACATGGCCCTGATCTTTCTTCTCCAGTGAGTTTACATCTTGTAGTAAATCCACAGGCTCCCCAAGATAGGCCCCTGCTCACTCTGACTCCCCCTCCTACCAAGCACACTCCTGTTTCATGTCCTTTGTACTTCCCTTCCCTCTGTCTGGAAAGCACCTCTTCAGATATCCCCATGGCTAGCTCTCCTGCTGCCTTGAGGACTTGTCGGAGAGAGGCCTTCCTGGACCTCCTGTATAAGATAGCAACACCCCATCTCAACACCGTGCATTTCCTTCCCAGGTACCCATGCTTGCTGTTCTCCGTTAGCACCCAGCACCACCTAACATACTACGTTGTCACTTATTTGATTATTGTCCATCTCTCTCCCCTGAAGGTTAAGCTCCACTAGGGCAGGGGCTTCATCAATACCAAACTTCAATCAGAAGCTGGCATCTTTATGTGCTCATTAAATACTTATGGTGCAAATGAATGAGAGCAGATGGAAAGGGGTCTTCTCTCCACTTCCCGACTGCCTGGTGAAGAGTATTCATGTCTAGGTGGAGGAGGAATGGGTATCTCTCTCTGAGATGAAGTGCTTTATTTGGCTGTCAGACCTCAGTGTCCTGTAATGTTCTGTGAGAGGCCCAAAGCCGGTCCTTCTGAAGGTGATCATCCAGTGCGTCCCTGGCGCTGCTGGGTTAGGACAGAGCTCCTGGCTCCTAGAGGAGCCGGGGTCATCTCTGCTGGTCACAGAAGCACAGTCTGTATGTAATGTAATACTCAATGATATGCTAATTAATTAGCTTTTTCTTTCTTTCTTTTTTTTTACTGCACATAAAGTTGGATTAGCATTTCCAAATCTCCCCCTTTAATGTGGTGGACACGGTCAGCTCTGGCGACAGTGGAGGACTGATTAGATTCCACAGTCTCATCTGATGCAGCCATGCGGGATGGCGTGTGCACATCTGCCCTGTAACTGTAGCAGGCTGGGAAGCCCTAGGTAGAACCATTATTCTCCCCAACTTGGGTAAATTATCCCCATGTCTGCATCCCCACCATGAGCCAGGCATAATGTTCTCAAATGCATCCTCTCTCATGATTGAAGCCTGTCACAATAACTTCTTTCTTATTTAAATTTCACAGAAACATTCTTTATTTCAATCACTCAGAAAGGTGCCTTTGGCAAAGGAATCACAGCTGACAGCAAATTAATGACTGAAATGCTGTGATTAGTTGAGATTACAGGCTACAGAGGACTTGTCTGAGCATTTACCACTGTCTTCACACTGATGCTGCATCTATTAGTGATTCATATCCCTCAAAAAAAGAGGATGTGCCCTGGCTGGGTGGCTCAGTTGGTTGGAGCTTCGTATGGTACACCAAAAGTTCGTGGGTTTGATTCCCAGGTCGGAGAGAGTATGGGAGGCAACAGATGTTTCTCACTCACATCTAAGGTCTCTCTCTCTCTCTCTCTCTTTCTCTCTCTCTCTCTCATTCTTCCCTTTCTCTTTAAAATCAATAAACGTACCCTCTGGTGAGGATCAACAAGCACAATGAGGGTGTGTTTCACTCACAGTAGCCCTATAGAAATGAAAGAAAATCTGTATGTAATGTAATATTCAATGGTATGCTAATTAATTGAAAGGAATTATTTTTTTTTTTTTTTTATTTTTTTTTTACTGTTAACCTGCTGGCCTAAGCAAGTCTTTCTCCCAAGCCCTCCCCCAGCTCACAGATTTATTTTAATAAAAATTTAAGGCACAAGCTAAATGAAAAGCTGAAGATAATTCCAGTCCCCAAACTCAAAGAATTCATTAACTGAAAGAAAAACATTGTTTAATCTTAAATTATTGGGATAAGTGACTCAATTTTATAATTCATTTTGCATGAGTAGAATTAATGGATATTTCAGTGCATACCAGGGCTTGAGTGGATTCATAAAATAAAATAAAATTTTTCAATCAACTTAACGGAGAGGAGGGGATAAAAATTAACGTGAACAATAACAACAACAAAACTGTCCATTCAGATACGAGGCATCACTGCACACACTTCTAGATGCTGGCTGAAAAGCAATACTGATTTCTGTAATCCCCCGAAATGACTTTTGCAGGGGGAAGATTTCAAATAAACGTCTATTTGCTTTAGGTGAGCTTCGCTGAATCGACTTTATTTGATTTTACATCCTCCTAAGGGAAGAGATTTCAGGATTTCCTGGTTGTAAAATGGAAAAGAACATTTTGCTGAACTTGTATGACATCATCTACTGCATTAAAAGGGCAGGTAATCATGGGCTCTCTGCCTGTTTACCAAACCTTCTTTACCTCCTCAATCTATTTTATTTCCAAATGTCAGAGGAGGCTGAAACCTTTCCAAGATTTACAGATGGCAGGAGCAGAGGCAATATTAGGATAAATCCTTTAACTTTTGTGAAAGCTCTTAAATAATTAACAGATGGGCTTTTGGAATTGTTACATATCACAGTACAGACACTCTAAGGTACACCCTGTGAAGGCCAAACCCAGTTCCATAACAAAGGGCTTGAAGGCATCTCTCTTTCTAGAAAGTTGGTGGAACTGTTCTCTGGAGTACAAACTTGGGTCACAAATAAAGTGAATATTTAATTTGTGAAGGGGAATTAATATAACAAAATTTAGTTTATCAATTAAAATTAAAATACAATATAGTGAATAAAAATAGTAACTACCATCTTGGTTTTTAATACAATTTCTTTTCCAAACTGTACTTGGAAATCCTCTTCTATTATGGAAAGAAGAAAAAAATGTGGCTGCCATAATACTATCTATCAAGAGAAACAAGAAATGTGAGCAAATTATCTTTAAGCTTACATTATAAAAATGTTTCCGCATATACTTATAATACTAGAGTCAAATAGCTAATACTAAAAATGTTTAAAGACCTTATCATACGTATGTACTAGACAAAACATTTCACACAGCAATACATTAATTTTTTCTTTTTTATGCAAAACGCCTCAACCGTAACTTCATGAAGAAATGTGAAGTGGTGTGAAAATGATCTTACCTCATATTCAAAGTCCTCTGTTCTGTCTGCATCAGCAGGCAAGCTGGAGAGATACTCATTGTCCTCATAAAATTCATGCTCCATCGGGTGAAGAGAATGGCAGCTATGGGGAATGTAGCAAGATGATAGGAATGGATCAAAAGGGTTGTTTTCGAGATTAAAACCGATTTAGAATTTCACTTTCGTTTTCTCTGCTTTGCGATGAGACCCGTACTGATCTAGCCTTTAAATGAACTACAGCTCAGGATAACCCATTGCTTTTCTTTCTCCACCTACATGAAGTCCATCAATTTGATTTTCTGAAAGAATTCTGAGATAAGGGCCCCTGGTCAGAGCTGCATTCCGGGAAGGCTGATGTGAGCTCTGTGACAGGCCATGGTGCTTTATTACCACTCTCTGGCTCTGCTAGCATTTCACCAAGTGGGGACTTGCTCCATACATGGGTGTGCGTCATTTGCGATAGCAGTGTAGCCCAAAGGGGGTATTTTTGTAACAAAATGCTGATTATTTCATAATACACAGCCCAGAACTATTTTTTGACTTCTGTTTTCAAACATACATTTTTCAGATGGCCTTTTCCATAATGCTACCATTCCTTAAGACCTTCTTCCTCATTCTCTCTTATAACCCATATTTTCTCCTCTTTGAAAAAGGGCACGTGTACAAATATTCATGACATTCATGGCAATACCTCATTAGAAATTCTTGTATATAGGGCATATATAAGCCACAGGGTTCCATAATCCCTGTGGAAAGTTCCTGGGGACAGACAGAGCTGATTAAGTAAAGGAAATGAGGGGGATCCAAGACACTGTCCATGACTTTTATATATCCCTTAACTTTTGAGTAAAGTTTTAAAGAATTGATAGAAGTGCTTTCCAATTATATGCTATGACAGAGAATATATATTACACCATACAAAGGCTAAGCAAAGTTCAACAGCAAAGGGCATGAGGTCATCTCTATTTGTAAATCTTTTTTTTTAATATATATTTTTTTATTGATTTCAGAGAGGAAGGGAGAGGGAGAGAGAGATAGAAACATCAGTGATGAGAGAGAATCATTGATCAGCTGCCTCCTGCACACCCCCTATTGGGAAATCGAGCCTGCAACCCAGGCATGTGCCCTTGATGGGAATTGAACCCAGGACCCTTCAGTCCACAGGCTGATGCTCTATCCACTGAGCAACACTGGCTAGGACGGTCATCTCTATTTCTAAAAGTCAATGAAGAAGTCTACGTGCAATAAACCAAGTTCACTGCAGGAGAGACCTCTAAGCCCTGGCAGTGTGGTCATTTCTGAAATATTAGAGTTAGTAGTATAAATTAGTTCTCTCATCATTAGTTGAAAAAGGAGAGAGGACCATCTTACTATCTTCACACAGTGTAAATATTCCACCAGCCTCTTCTCACTATTGTCAGCTGCATACAGGGTTAAGGAATGTGGACCCAAATAATAAAAGCACCTTGCCTGCAGGTCTAACAGGTAAACCCTCCTTGTTTAATCTGGACTGGCTCTGCAAAGCCTATTTGGGCTGGTAAAAAGTTAAACTTGCTATTTGGGGCATCTGATGTGTTGCCCTTGTCCTTCAGTTAGTAAGAAGGGCGCCCTGCCAGGAGGAACACCTTTTTCATTCAATAAACATTTACTGCATGTCTACCAGATGCCAGGCCCTACGCCAACTGCGGGGAATAGGCTGGTGCGCAAAATCCAATTCTTGCCTTGTGAACTGGGTAAAGCAGCAAAGTGGGAATTTTAATAGAGCAATAATTAAGGGGAAAATACAGAAGCCTTGAAAGCACATGATGGGGATGTCCCTACTGCAGCCCTAGGAAGTTTGCTAGGAAAGTTGCCTCTAAGATAAGACCTGTGGGGCTTAGGAAGAGCAGCACTGGTTAAAGAAGCCATCAGACCTCTTTGGCTCAGAAGCCTGGCCCTGTCATTTCTTTGCTAAGTGACGTTGGCCAACTCAACATCTGGGACATGGGTATGGTAATAATATAATACACACCTTCCAAAGGTTTGTGAGGACTAAATGAGTTAATCAATGTAAAACACTGGGAATATTACCTAAACTATGTTAGGAAAGCTAATAAATCTAAGCTATTATTATTCATTCAAGAAAGTATTGATTGAATGGCTATTCTGTATCAGGCTATGCTAATGAGTATCAAATATTTGTGTGCTTGGGAATTGTTTATCTTACCCTCTAGACCAGGGGTGGGCAAACTTTTTGACTCGAGGGCCACAATGGGTTCTTAAACTGGACCGGAGGGCCGGAACAAAAGCATGGATGGAGTGTTTGTGTGAACTAATATAAATTCAAAGTAAACATCATTACATAAAAGGGTATGGTCTTTTTTTTTAGTTTTATTCATTTCAAATGGGCCGGATCCGGCCCGCGGGCCGTAGTTTGCCCACGGCTGCTCTAGACTATGAGCTCTAGGAGACAGGGACTTTATTTTTGTTCCCAGTTTTATGCCCAGCACCAAGTCCCACTGCCTGACATAAATGGCTCTTTAATGAGTAATGGATGAGTTAATAAATTCCTAAGCAAGACAAACAGAGCCTCTACTCTCCTGGAACTGGAGTTTTCAAAGAGTAGTTTCCAAAATACAGCTACCCATCACAATGTCCTAGGGAGGTTTTTGAAGTATTCCAATGCTTGGGCCTCATTCTACAAAATTCTTATTAACTGGCCTGAGGTGGGACTTGGGCAATGAATTGATATTGCTTTTCCATGCTCCCAGGTGATTCTAATGTACACATGTGACCCACTGAAACAGATTTACCAAAGCCACTAAAGGGTGGGGAAGTGGCGTGACCAGATCTGTGTTTTACTAAGTGGAGAATGGATCCGTAAGCAATGAAAATGCAGTCTAAAGAGACTATTGCTCTTATCAATAAAAATCTCAGTCATGTTTGACTATTTGCTTAAAAGGTCATAGAACAAAATGTATGGGGCAGAACGTACTTCCAAGACTATACAAGTAGGATTGTTTGAATAAAATACCTCTGCCTTTACATTAGGTAAAAACTGGGAAGAAAGATTCCTTCAATAGTTCTTTATTTCATAGTTCTGTACTTATTCTCTGACAGCCAAAACCTTCTGTTTACATCTCAATATATTGAGTAATTGCTTTCTGTGGAGAATTACACTGTAATTAAATTAATTTCTTAGCTTCTCCTTTAAAGAAGAGAAAAGCAAAGGCGAGAAAGAGAGGCGACCCACAGTGGAGAACACAGTGCCAACATGTCGCTTCTGTGTCAGTCCTAATGAGGCTCTTGGCAGCTTGGGTGAGCAGAGCGATGTCCCTGACCAGTGCTCATGAGGAGCACAAGGTGTTTGATGACTGAAAGTACGAAGATGCACTAATCAGAGCCCGAATTTTTCACTGCACCTCAGCAAGTCTGATTCCTGAGGAGAAGCAGCAGTCTGGCCAGGGGAAGTAGCTAGCAGGGACAGCTGACAACTAATTGGATGTAGACACAGTGGAGACATTTTCCAAACATCACTGAGCACCTGTCTCAATAACTGTGAACTGGCTAGTGTGACTGATTCTTTCCAACACCTCCTCTCAATGATGAATGAAAAGAAATAGGGCTTTGGGAGAAGTGACAGCGAAATACCTGTCTGAGAGCAGAAATGGACAGATGTCCGGCACCGGAGGGGTAGGTGGCCTAAGCTTAGCCAGGGCCATGATGTGCTCAAAGGTAATGTCCGTCTGAGTACTGGCGTTCATGAGCTGCACTTCCGGGACCGCTCCATAGATTGGTTTACTGAGAGGCGTTCGCCTTAGCACCTGAACCACAATGGGCTCCTTGGCGTTTCGAAAAGCTTCCACTGCCTCTTCATGGGTGGCCTTTGAGAGATCCTTCCCATTGACCTGTGAAGATAAAAGGACATTGCTCATCTCAGAGGAAAGAACAGAGAGGCTGCTGTGACAGATTGGTAAAAGGCGGGGAGGGGATGTTTGAACCAGCTCTGCTACGCATTTTGTAAAGGAATATTTAATGAGACTGACATTTATTGAACGCTTCACCAACAGGAGACAGTGAAGGAGATAAGGAAATAATTACTTCTGGTGTCTTCAGGAAGTACGCCATCAGAAAATGTTCGCTAACACCTTCAGATAGGTAAGAATGCTAAGTATATACTTTCTTATGCTTTACCAATCTCTTGGTGGGATCTTTACAAAGGTATTTTATTGATTTTTATTTATAGAGAAAGGAAGGGAGAGGGAGAGAGAGAGAGAGAGAAACATTGACATCAGAGTGGAACATTGATGGCTGCCTCCTGCACACCCCCTACCAGGGACTGAGCCCACAACCCAGCCTTGTGCCAGGACTGGGAATTGAACCAGCAACCCTTCAGTATACGGGAAAATGCCAGACCAACTGAGCCACACCAGCCAGGGTTCTTGGTGGGATTTTCAACAATTACTCAAAGTCTTCCGGGCCTAAAATTTATTTTTTAGGATATTGTCAGATTTCTTTCATATTCATCATCTTTTTATCCAAGACCATGCTTTATTCAAGGTCATGTGCATTTTATCATAAATCCTTTCTAGTCAACGTGTGTTCTGTGGACCAGCAGCAACAGTATCACTTAAGAGATTATTAGAAATGCCAAGAACTTGGCATTACCCAGACCTCCTGGATCAGAACTGACATTTTTAAAAGGATACCAGATGACTTATATGAGATGCATATGAAAGGAACATTGCTCTAAAACACCTCTGAGTGAGAATACTGTGTCCCTTTGGAAACATCCTTACCTGTTTTAATGTATATTAATTTATGATATTCCAAGGTAGCCCTAAACACAGCAGAGAAAGAGGTGACATTTGCCTTTGCCTCCAAAACTGCTTCTCAGTAGGGCCAATTGTTGGCATTTAGGAGAAAAAGATTATTTTTTGTGAGACTCTGTCTTGCCTGCTTATTAAGGGCCATGATGTTCCCAGCCTTGTGGCACCCCAGTCACCGCACACTTTTCTAAACACCCTCTTGAGGGGCACTATAGGCCTCTCTCAAATAGTTGTCAATTTATTTCCCTGAAATGGGTCCTGATAACACAGTCTCTTAATGCGAGTTATGTTTTAATAAAGGACTATGGAATCCTGAAGTATCTTTCCAACTCCTATCACAAATGAATCAGTAATGCTGGCTTTTGCATATAGGAAAAGATACTTGGGAACACAGTACTGTACTCAAAACCCCTGAAATTATACCATTTCTAGACAACTAAGACAGTGAGGCTCTGTTGACAACTATGCACCAGGAAATCCTTAGAGATCCCTCAAAGGAAGCAAAATGAATCACTGAGTTGCAATCAGAGAGCAATTATGACATTTGAATGAACACATTCTTTCTCCCTGAGTAGACAAAGAATATGTGTGTGCTCAGAGCAAGTGTGGGGGATTTGGGAGTAAAAGATACAACGCCAGGTAGAAATTGTCATGTCCTGTAGAGACAGGCTTAATGACCTAGAGGAGCTAATTTATTCAATGGGCCCTGAAAGAGTTAATGTGCCATCAAAAATGGAGCAATTGAGTTTCCTCACCAGCAAAATATGTCCCAGTACAGTTCTTGGATCACTAGTAAGACACTTCAGATGGAGAGCTGAGTAGGTACCAACTAGTGTGTACACACTCACCAATCTGTACATTCCCTCTGTGATTCTTTTCTCCATGGACTACATTTGAAAATAATCACCAAATTTTTATTGGCACAGCCTTGATGGCACATCGTATGTCTTGATGACTCTAGGCATACACAAGTATGTAGACATAGGACGCCCACAGACACACTCATCCATTCCTTGAGCTATTGTCAATGACAGGCACTCTGGGCTGAGGCCACCACTGACTTCCCTGAGGACATGTAGTCAGCAGATGATAGGGGAACTTCCAGATGGGAAAACACAACCTAAAAGCTAGCCTCTCATGTTTAGTGTTGTCATCCTCCATGTTTTATATTGTGGTCGGTATTTATAAATTCCAGGGTTATAGAAACTGATCCGGTGGCAGATAAGATTGCTCTGTCAGTTCAGAAGAATTGCCTTTTGGTCCCCAGGCTTCCCACTTCCCGTGAATATCTGCTCCAGCAAAGTATCATAACATTCCCTCTCTGAAGAGAACTCTTGGTCACTTTAAAACCTACTAAAACTATGACAATAGTTACCTTCTCTAATAAGCTTTGCATTTAGAGTAACCCCTAACAGTGACAGAATGAAAGAAGACAGTGCCCTTTTAAAAAGAACTTCAAGCAATATCTTAGGGTAAAGGGAGAAATAACTTGTGGCCAGGGTTTCTTCCAGTCCACACATGAAATCCTACTATTGCATACACTGTGTGCCATTAAGTAGTGCACAGACAAAATACCCTCATTCCATTTCTTCTTTAAGGTGGCCAGGTACCTTGCCTCCATGTTAACCTAGTCTTGGTATTCTTTTATTTCTTATTTGTTTTAGTGATCTTCAAAGCAAAAATGATTTCTAAAAAGTGAGTTTCTTACTAATAATGATTATTTATTTTATGTTCTTAGTAGCTACTTAGGGTCGTTTTTGTAAAATCCAGAAATGTATAAAATTTCTGTAAAAACATAAAAATTACTGAAGATTTATTTAGGTTGTGAGGTCATTAGCTCTTATTGTAATGGTTAGTATATGCTGACCATATTAGCATCCATCCTGAAAGATCAATAGCTATTGATCTTAAGACCTGTACATTCATTCATTTACAGTCATGGCATTTATATACAATTTTGGAGGGGGGGCGGCTAGGGACAATTAAATATAATCTTGAAAAGGGATAGTCAATGTAATCACTAATATCTTCCTTTCTCATTGGGGAATGCTCTTTTCTTCCAGTTATCATGTAGCTGACCTCTATTTTCATAAGCTGTTTAATATCTCTCAAAGTAAAGAAACTATGACCTTTAAAAGCTCACTGCCTCACGTGATTCCTTAGAAAATGTAAGCACTGATAATACAAAACACTCTTTTTTTCTTTCACTTCACTTGAAGTTCATCAACATACTGTTAGCCTACCAAAAGGTCACCATTTTATAAATTATGCCTTTCACAACAGAAAAAAAGAATAGCTTAATTGGGGTTTTCTGGCAGTGGCTTTGCTTAGTTATCATCAGTTACAGGTAGGGAGAAGAATAATATTGAGAGAATATCTAAAATTTTAATCCTATAGACAAATTTTGTAGCAAGTAAACAAATAAGATAATAGCAAAAGTTCATTTTTTTCCCCCAAATAGTGAGATCCTAAACCAACAAGGTATTTGCTATTTCATGGTGCCATATATTTCTTTTCCATCATATCCTCTGGCTCCCTCCTTTCTTTGCTTCCTCCCTATCTTTCTTCTTTCCACCTTACTTTCTTCATCTCAGTCTTAATTATGATATTGGCTACATATAATTTTTATGTGTTTTGTGAAATGAGACTGGAGATAGAGAAGCCCTCTATTAAAGGTGTGCCATTTAATACAGGTAGTTAAGGGTATAGACCCATACTTTTTTAACGTGCCCAGTGAAAGGAGGGAAGCTCTTTTGCTAGAAGAGTCCAGGGAAGTTGATTTCAGGAGGAAAAGCTGATGAAGAGGGTTGGGAGCAAAATTGGTGAGGGGAGATGAAAGGGAATCTGAAGATTAAAAAAGAAATACCCCTGCCGAAACCGGTTTGGCTCAGTAGATAGAGCGTCGGCCTGCGGACTGAAAGGTCCCAGGTTCGATTCCGGTCAAGGGCATGTACCTGGGTTGCGGGCACATCCCCAGTGGGAGATGTGCAGGGGGCAGCTGATCGATGTTTCTCTCTCATCGATGTTTCTAACTTTCTATCTCTCTCCCTTCCTCTCTGTGAAAAATCAATAAAATATATTTAAAAAAAAAAAAAAAGAAATACCCATGTATTACAGGGTTTGAGTTTGAAGTTTATGTGCATAGGGGTTTCAAGAAGGCTGGGAATTTTAAAAATATATTTTATTGATTTTTAGAGAGAGAGAAAGGGAGAGAGAGATAGAGATAGAAACATCAATGAGAGAGAAGCATCATCAATTGGCTGCCTCCTGCATACCCCCTACTGGGAATTGAGCCCACAATCTGGGCATGTGCCCTGACTGGGAATGGAACTGGTGACCTCCTGGTTCCTGGGTCAATGCTCAACTACTAAAACACCGCTGGGCTGGAAATTTTATTTGAGCATGATCTAGAGAGTGATACTTTTTCTAAAGTGGTTGTTAAATGGAATGGGTGAGAGGCTAGACTCGAGAGTCATAATAAACATGAGGAGTATATGAGATAATTCCCTCTATCACTATAACATCTGGCATTTGGATGACTGTGGCCAAAACTGATTTGGTTCTCCTGCTAACAAGCAACAAGAGTATAATGGAAAAGACTCAGGTGATGGATATTTGATAAGAGGCCAGGGGTCCCAGTGGGATGACTGGACTCTGAGATGGTGATTAAACCACCTGACTTAGATAAGTAAGAAATCAGGCATGTTTATGCATATAGAGGTAGTTAGAATTGGCAACAGCATAAATGAGGGAAGGAAGACAGGAATTCTATAATAACTAGAGGCATGTGGTTCTTCTTCTAAAAAAGTACCATTGAGATGGAAAACAAGTGGAAAGACAGGGCTATGATCACATTGCAAGGTATATAAATGATGAGTCACTATATTGTACACCTGAAACTAATATTGTATACCAACTATATTTAAATAAAAAATATAAAAATAAAAAGGAGTAGTCTTAATCATGTCAATCCTGAAGCAGTTATAAGACATTCAGATAAACTAACAAATAAATAATTGGTGAATTAAAACAATATTTGATCATGGGAAACCATTTTCCATTTGTCTGGGAAAGCTAGC